GTGTGTGTGTGTATGTGTGTGTGTGTGTGTGTGTGTGTGTGTGTGTGTAAGTGTGCTTTGTCCCATGTATATTGTTATTTGTTCAATATACTTTATTGAATTACCTTTACGACTATTGATTTTAGATTAATGGATAGTCATGTCAGTGCTTCGTATTATAATAATATACCGAGGTCTAACAGAATCTGTCCTTGAGAGTACTATGGCGTGTCAAGAATAGAATGTGTGTAAGTGCTATCAAAATGTGCAAATCCCGGTATACGAATCACTGTCAATGACGTAACTAAAATATTTTGAAGTGATAATATTGGCTTTCGAAGGCATGTAATTAAATGACAGTGGCATAAGCAGCGCAATCCAAAAATGTGGTGCGAGAATCATCTTACAACGTCACTATGCCACACCTTCTGTTGAGAAAGAAATTGAGATGGGTTACTTTTAAGACATAATTTCCTAAATAGTGTTGTTTTATTTTACAAATCAGTATAAAGCCCGGGCCTCAAATATATCTGCAACAGGTTTACTAGCATTATAAGACAGAAGCAGAGAAAGTCCATGACAATGAGGACATGGCACTACCACGACCAAATATTAATTTTTTCTGATTGGAGAAATGAAGAATGTAGAATGAGCTACACCTCAAAATTAAATCATAGCTAAAACAAATAAAATTTAGTATACTAGTATCTGTTTATTCGTTTGTTTTTCAGTAATTTTATCTATACAAAGGACTTCTTTTACATAATTTAGATACGTTCACTTGTTATAGCCCGAGCCTTGTGGTAGAGTCACCTAGGATTAATGATTATTTGGTGTATAATCACATACTCAAATCAATGGGCGGAATATATATGGGCTTCAAGGTCACATGAGTCAAAATCAAATGGTTTCTGTAAAGATGCTTTCTAAAATAATATTTGCAATAGTGCTATTGTATTTAACCACAAGCTCTTCGTATCTTCCAAAAAACGTTTAGAATGTTAAGACGAGTCGCTTTCCACAACACCATTGGCTTAATAGTTTCTACGGAAGAAGACAATGTCTTTAAATGTCTGTATAATGTACTACAGATCCATGCATATCGAATGAGCTGGGAATGTAAACTCTATAGGTAAGGGGAAAATATGTAAATATAATGGTAACATTTAATT